TTTTTATAAACTCACTTTTATTTTGAAATTCCGAGTTGGGGTTAGTTGAGCATAGTTGCTAAACTTATTCTGTCACTAAGACAATTACCATTAACTTGCAGAAATTAATTAATATTTTTAAGATTTAAGCTAAGTCTATGAGTAATAATATAAAGAAATAATGATTTTAAACAAAAATACTAAATATAATGGTCAAATAATTCCTAAGATACGATATTGTTTGTTGATTCTGCTTTTGGTTAATTATTCAAAGAAAATTACTATAAGTTTTGTTTTTTCTGTCAATAAAGACTATAAATATAGAACTGGTTATTAAAAACTTATTTTATTTCATCACTAATCGATATTGTACCTATGATTTCATTATACTTTCTTAGTGCTCAACTTGCCCCGCCTATGGGGTACATTGAGCATACTTGACTTTTTGCATTTAAACAGTTGTAGCTTTTAAATTTTACTTATTACCAAAAAATAGTATTAACACTTTTGTTAAGCAATAAAACAACAAATCCATTAAGCCATATAGCAATTTATTGAGACTTTTCATTGAGGAGCTACATCCGTTTAAGTAAAAATTTGCTCAACTAGGCCCGCCCTACCCTAATTATAAAAGTTGCCCATTCGTACATTAAATTTTTTAAAAAGGTAGTATATAAATTTGATAAAATCCACTTTATCTATGGATTAAAAAGCTATGCACCCAATCGAATGCTGTGAAATTTTATTGAATGTTCTGAAAAAAAAAATAATTTGTTTTTTTATAATGTTGGATTGTAAAATATATGTGATTAAAATTTTCACATTATGTAGAATTGATACATAAAATTTATTTGCCAGCTAATAAATAATTAAGTTGTCAAAAATCATTCGTTCAATGTAATATTATGCAATTAACAATATTTGTAACCACATATTTGCACACTCTTTTGTGAAACCTAAAAATTCTTCCTCATCTTTTTACAACGGAACATAAATACCTAAAAAGTAGAGTCCATAAAAAATATCGGTCACCCAAAATTTCTCAGTAATTATTACCATAGTGTATTTGAAAAAATTAAACTACATGATTAGGACTTATGACAGAAAAAACCAAAAGAACATGCGTTTTTTATGAACTCGAAAAAAATATGGTACCAATAAGCAATAACGCCGTCTCGGATGAATGACATACAATAAAATCATAAATAGTTTTACGGCTCCCGAATTTTGAAAAACTGTTTCAAAGAAAAAGTACGGTCAAATTCTTTGTACTTAGTATCTTTTCTGTTACCTAATTTTTTGAATATGAATAGTTATGATTTTTTCTATTAGAGCACATGATCGTTCGTTCTGGTATGTAGACAAATATATCATTGTCGGAAAAGAAAGTTGCTTTCGAGACAGATACAGTTAGGAATAATTGACACATTTTATGATATTGTTTTTAAAGTTCAATTTTCATAGAATATCTGTAAAATTTTATAATGGTTTTAATGAAACGGATAGTTTTTGAACAAATGTAATAAAATTTAACTTAAAAAATGAAGTACTTTACCGTTATTTCTAAATCGCAATAAAAACACTGTCTTCCTTATTTCACTATACAACTTTAGAGGACAACTTTGTTTCAAGTCGTTAATCCGCAATATTGTAAAATGTTTTAAAACTATACAAACTTGCAATCATTCTTTGAAATATTATACCATATAATCACCATTCAGTAGTTGAGAGATTCTTTTGTTTTGTTACCTCGAATAAATTTTCCGGAAAATCATAGATCATCATCTACATCATTCGCTTTTTCTTGTACACTTAATAGATATTATGCTTTATTTGTAAATGCTCGAGTTTCAATGTTTTAGTGACACTTGAGTATATTTAGGTTAGGTAATTTAAATTTTAAACAATTTTCATTGTTTTAAATTTAATTTTTCACACAAGAGTAGATCTGCTATTGCAATTTGACTGTAATGAAAATCGTTCGTAAAACTGTATTTTATACACACTATATATGAGTTGAGCACAATTTTAAAATAAAATTTCATTTGATTTCTGTTATTAATTAATACATTACATCACAACAATAGTCAGTCATGTTGAGATTTTAAATTTATGTATTTAACAAGTATTTCATCCATCGGCTCATTAGGAACTGTAATAAACAAAACATCGAGCTTTAATTTGCACAATTAGTTTATCAATTTTATATATATTTTTTTTAAATTTTTTAACTTTTGTATCAAAACGAACAACGTCACGTTGTTTTGTATCTATTTCCGACGGATGAGGCGACATTATCAATGTACCGCGCGTGTATGATGCAAATCCTTATTTTCCCAATGCGCGTGACTTTTTATCGCTATTATAAAACGATATATGATGCACTTGAATTGTACTGATAAATTATTACTCATTTTTATATATGCACTAATTTACTTGCAACTCAAAGCAATAGATGCCAAGATGTGTAATGGTGAAGAAAAAATTGATATTAAGTCCAAAATAGTGAATGACGTAAAAAGGGATGATTGTGTTCCTCATAATCATAATAAAATGGGATACATTTGCTTTGGGGAAAGAAGAGTTATATTTAAACAATAGCAAAATGTGCTTAACAGTCTTTTTATTTTCCAATTTTTTTATAAGATTGCGTACACCATTTATAATTTTACCATATAATTACTTTATAAAATTATGTACGTTTAGCGCCTAAAATTGCTATTAAAATTTATGGTAATTTGTTTCAGTATGAAAATACATACATATATTTAAATCACTAATAAACTATTCCCTTGCATGTGCTCCTATGACATTTATTATGCAATAGCCGTTATCGAATATAATAAAACCATACACAGATAATAAAGCGCATTGCTAAAAATAAAATAATTGAAGTACTACACAATGTATTGTTTTATAAATGCTAAAAATCGTCACTGATAAAAAAGATGTTTGGCACTTTGATTTGTATTGTGAATTCCGGATAATTAAACATGTTTGAAGTGACTTGGGAATATTTTAAATTTGATAAGTTATATGTACGTTGTAGATAATATGGATAAAAAGTAAGTTAATATTAAAATACATTGGATTTAAATTTCATAATGCCCACATTCATGAAAGGCAATTATAAGTATTAGTAAAACAGTTTTTTTTATTTATTTCATGTAAATTGCTTAGCTTTTTTAATTTTTTTTTCTTTATTTATTATAGACAATCAGAAATACAAATTTCTATGAGCCTATGTGATCCATTGAATATATCATTTAGAGGTCTTCTCCACTGAAGAGATTCCTCTGTAGATAATCTATGTTAATAATAAATCAATGTTAACAAAATCAATCTATGTTAATAAATAATATATCTTTTTTTCCTATTTTCTATTTATTTCTTCCAAATTCCTGCAGATAAATACTTTTCCAATCAAAAATGGCACTTTTGCATCATCAGATATTAATATTAATTCCTCAGAAGCTTTATCTGATGTTTTTAAATCGTTAATTGCAATATTCAATTCATCTTTGAAATCTTTTAATCTTGCATTCTACTTTAGGCAAATTTATTAATTTTCTGTTGATTTTTAGAAAATATAAACATCTGAATCTGATTTAAATGTTTTTTCTCCAGAAGCGCATGTCATTGATATTTTAATGAACTTAAGGGGCCAATTCTTGGATAAAATACAAATGTTATGGCGATGCTATGATACGGGTCTATCTTCGTATGAGTTGGTAGTAACAAACTGCCAAATAGCTGTGCTATCAGGTTATTATTTCTATTTTATCTGTGAACAACCTTGGGCCAACCCTGGTTTATTGAACAAGTAAAATAAAAACTTGTGAATCATTAACCTTATCATAATTTTATTATTTAGTTTTAATGAATGGGCTCGCCCTTAGGTAAGCGGTTAAGAGCGACGGGACTTGTTTCAGAGGTCCCGGGTTCGATACCCACTTCGAGCAGCCTGTTGTCAGGCGGCAGTGACAACGATTTTCACTTGGAAATATAGATAGCAATATGTTTCCAAGTGAAAATAGCCCTTGCCCGGCATTGCTGCGCCAATAAAAAAGACAGCCCTATTAGATTAATTCTAATAAAAAAAATCATCAAATATGGATGGATTAACCATTGGGTTACCATCTAAAAAATACGAAGTAAGGAGAAGTTTCAGCCCAACAGCTCATAGGACGTAAGGTTCTGATTGCTGTTAAAAATATAATAAAAAAAAAAAGAAGTTTAAATGAATGAAGAATTATCGTTATAATAAGAGACATATAAGAAAAGTGCATAAAAATTGCAGCGTATATAAAAAGAAGTGCATTTCGTAAACAGATATTGTACTACATTCTGATAGCACTTTTATAATAATAATGATGATAATAACAATAACGGGTTGTACTGCCCTAGGGCAGGTCCGTGGGTTGAGTTAAACTCCAACTCAGGGAAGAATATTGTGAGAGATTCAGGGAAGAATATTGCCATTTCTCATCGCAATGGCCGAAATGGGTGATTTTCAAATGGAAACATATATTTGATCTATATTTTTAAGTTTTTTTGGTCGGCAATAAATCTATGCAAATAAAAAAATATTTTTAAGTGAAGGGGTACATCGCTGCTGCACGATGTCAAGTTGTTCAGAGCGGTGTTTGAACCCACGTTCCCGTCCACACGAGTCCATGAGCTTAACATTTACACCACGAAACAGCTTTTTATGCTGGATAATATTTATTGCAGTTGAATATTCCGAATTCCGAAATTATTCAAAATACTGTCTATTTCAATTTATATTTATATTTTATGAATTCATCTCAATGGCTTTGATTAGGTTTTTTACTATTCATTGTAAACGATTAGACTTCGCCCTCATGCCGCACAATAAACACTCCAGGCCGAGCGAGAAGCTGCGCGTTCACCAGAAAGGGACGACGAGTAAATTTCGGTGGGCAAGCCACGCCCCGTCTTTTACCACATGGCACCGAGTCGTCACGGATCGATCCGAAGTCGATCTCTGTTACCGATCGCGCACGCTTTCGGCGAAGGAGGTTTCGTAGTAATAAATTTTAGTGTTGTTTTAACTCTTGTTTAGTACGCATTGTGAAAAATATTGAGCTTTTATCGATAAAAATAATAAAATACGAAGACTATATTTGATAAAAAATAAGTGAATGTTTTATCAAAGACTTGAGTATTTATGCAATAGCAGTGTTGATAGTGATAATTATTGTTGATAGTGCTTAAATCTGTTTATGGTAAGTTTTATAGATTTTACGTAAAAAATGTTAACTCAAAATATTACCACGCATGCTTCATTTATATTCAGCATGTTTTACAATTTTTAATTTTTAACATCTATTTCTGTAAAAATGTACTCATAAAATTTATCAATTTTATCTTTATAAATTTCATTTTTAATTATTATTATTTAATCCCGAATCACTCAAATATTTACGCATAATTGTTATCGATTTTATGCTGCAGTTTTTTTATCTAACGTGTTACGTAATGATTAAGAATTTAAAATATTTTTGTGAGTGCTATTTTTATAGATTAACATTACGCAAAAACAATCTTAAGTTTTTTAATGCATTTAGTTTAATTAGTGTTTGATAACTGCGAAGCTTGGTAATTAATTATTAAGTATAATAATGTCAATTAGTGGATTATTGTATATAAAATACTAATTCAAAATTGAATGTTTTCTAACAACTTCATGATCCAAAATATCATTTGAATGTTAGGATTAAACATAAATTCTACAGTAGAAAGACGCAGAATTAAATAAGACCATTGTTTCTCAAACTTTATATATTTATCATATACTTCTTATAATTAGGAAATTTTTATTGCATAATTTACAAACCGACGTTCTTGTATTCATGTACTTTGCTCAATATTGTCTCAATTTTAAATTTTGTTCATTTTGTTAATTTGATCTTTGATTTGTAAGTATTTGTTTGTTTGATCATATTTATATCATTATTGATCTAATTTTGCTTAGGTTAAATTTGACGTTTTTCAATTGGTATAAAAGATTGTGAAACTTAGCAAAGTTTTCTAGCAAAATAGATAATACACGTTCAAATTAATCAGAGATTCCCAAACTTAGTTTCATTATCCTGATCTCTTACCATTACTCTTATATATCATACAGTAATTGTTTTCCTACAATTGTTTAGTTCACAGTTTGAGAAACACTCAATTACCACCAAATATAAACTTTTATCACTGCGCAGAGTTAAAAATCAACACATACGTTCCTTCGTTGCTTTTTAAATTAAACAATCAAGATAAATTATTTTTTGTTATTAATTTCTGTCCAACGGAATGTTTGCCTCACTAGAAGATTTTGTTTATATTAAAGTTTAATTTATTTAAGAATACGCGTGTTCAGAAGTTGAAACATTTTTTGCACCCACGATTTATCTTGCAAACCAAGGCGTGAAAGTTTACATTATGATAAATTAAACATATTGAAAATTTTTATATTTGTTAAATGATCGCAATCTCAAAATTCTTCATGGATGGGGTTAAATTTTTAGAAATTGCTTAGATACATTTTAAATAAGATATTAGCGTTTGTGCTGCAATGAAGAATTTCTTCATCTAGGTTTTTTTCTAGATAAACAAATACTAAATTCGATGATAATCTTTCAAAATGAGATGCAGGTTAATGATATTTTCAATGTTATATAACAACACGTTAACCGCCACAATAATATCAAGTAAGTATTTTCACATGGGCCATGGTAACTTAGATAATTCAGTTAAAAATGTATCAACGAAGTTTAACGTATCAAAAAATATTTTTTTGGCCAAATTCCTGGAAAACACTATTTTGTATATCACACATATATGACTGATACTGTTTTTTATTGTTTCACCAAATTGCATAATATGTCAGACATATATAGGATCCGCCAACTAGCTTTTTTTGAAAAATTCCTTAAAAAATCTACTGAATATTTTGCCAATTTTCTTTTTGTTTGAAAATTCTATTAAAAAACCACTAAATATTTTCACTTTTTTTTATTTTAAAGTGAAATGTAAAGAGGTAGGTCGTACCCCCTAAAAAAAAAATATTTGGCGGACCCTATATGTTTGACATGGCCCATGTAGAATTTCTTAGCGTCAGACACACATGACTGACATGGCAATTTACGTGCTAAATTTCTGAATTGTGATATTGATCCTTTAATAAGTAAATGAATAGTTCAATAAGTAAATGAATGTTACTTGATTTCGATAGTCAAAAATGATTTATTATTTAGCATGGAATATTTTTCAGTTTGACTCGAATTTTTATTTCGCCGTTAAATTTAAATTGCTCTCTATAAAACATGACTTTGACTCTAAACTTAATCCACCCAATAATAATTTCGCCACCCCCCGCTGCTAATTTTTACCGTTCAATATAAAAACTTGTTACTTTCAGATCAATAACAAACCCTGAATTTATGTAACTGTTCCTTACCTACCTCCACCCTTTTACCGTAAAGTTTTACAACCACCATAGTCCGAGTTTTATTTTTATTCCCATTCAACTGTTATTTTTTTATGGCCTCCGTACGCAAAAGTCAACTGCCCGATAGGATTAAGACCGTTATGGTAATAGAATTTCTTTAAGCTTTAAGAAAAAATCGACGGAACCCCTTCTCTAATAAGCTTTTAATTTTTTCCATTCGTAAGTCGCGCATATAAATATTATGGGGTTTAATTTTTCTTCGACCCTGAGATAATGATTTTCAGCCCCGACCAGGAGATGCGAAGCCGTGCGCTCCAGTTTTATTGTAGGCGGACCGGGTTTATGGCGTTCGCTCGGCTGTTTGTGTATGACGTGAAATTTTTAGTCGAATTTCGTGCACTGCATGACGTTTATTGTACTCTAGTTACGAAATTTATGATTTAGTATGGCTTAACTCTTTTGTTAAGACAGTAAAATACATGGAGTTGTATACACAAGTACGAAGGAGCCGATGCAATGGGCGGAGAAAGGTCAGAAAGTTTTAACATAACAATAGATGATTCTCAGAATGAGGTCTTCGACTTTTGGCAAACAGATATTTGCATATGTTTTTAGTGTTTTTATAAAGCTTTAAGGACGATTTGAGGAACACATTTTTCACCAAAAAATGTTTGGATATGAAATTTCTCTTTGCCAGAAAACCCAGTCACCTACATAAACATTCTTGAATAAAATAGAAATGTTATGGTAATGCTTATGCTACGGGTCTATATTCGTATGAGTTGGTAGTAACAAACTTTCAAAAATTTAGGTATTTTCTGTGCGAACAGACGTTTTACAAACTTAAACGTCTGACCTACAAAACGCACAAATCTCAAATCACAATTTTATCAAAATTGCATCTCTTTGATGTCTCATTCATAACACAAACGTGAACAAACGTGAAGTTAGATTTTTTGCGTAATGATCTCATAGCAAACTAGTGGGACGCATGGCATCGTGCCTTAAGGCAAATTGCTGGAACTTCCCGTACCAAAAATTATTTTTTTAAAAACGATTAACATTTTTGAAAAAATTTTACTTCGAAAAAATTAGATTTTCGAGAAACTATAAATTCGACAAAAAATTACTTCTTTTTTGATTTTTTTTTTAAAATGTTTTCTTTATTTTGATATATTTTGGAAATTTTGAACTTTTTTCCAAAGCAATCGTACTGCTTTGACTGCATAGAGACGAAACGTCAAAGCGCGCAAGCGCCGCGTCGCCATTTAACGGATAAACATTGGTACGGAACCCATAGGAATGTAAACCAAATTTATACTTATTGTTAAAATCTCTATAAAATATCTAATAATTTGATGTGCATATGTCTAATGATCATTTTGACCGCCAAATGGCATTTTTTTACTTTTTTTCATTAGATCTCCGAAATCGCTAAACCTGCCTTCATGAAAATTTGATCAGTTCTTTATCTTGTTAATACAAGTAAAATGTTTTTTGAATTATTCAAATCGGACGCTCCGTTCTCTTAAAAACCAAGTTACCGTTTTTGACACTTTTTGCCCCACATCTTCGGAACGGCTAGACCTGCCTTTGCCAAAAACTAATCAGCACGTCTCCTTATCAATACGAATCGAATGTTTTTTTAATTATTCAAATCGCTTCATCCGTGTTCTCGAAATCGTCGACGAAAATTTGTATCCGAACAGACACACATACACACACACACACACACACACACATACATCCATTTTTTTCTAAGGTATTCCAAAATATTCAGCAACCTCTGAAACGTAAAGATATATAAAAATTTTCATTTTTGATTTTTTTGCGATTACTATAACTTGCCCTACGGGAATTTAATAAATAGCTTTTATACAGTTTGTTACTACCAACTCATATGAATATATTTATATTTTATGCAAAAATTGGCTCCTCAATCACATACGTTACTGATTGAAAATGCATCCAATATTTTTTATGCAAATTTCTGTTCCCACTAATCTATATTTAGACTTTTAATAATTATCTGATTCCCAAATCTAATTATAACGAGTACTTTTCCCAATGCAATCGCTTAATTGCTATATTCCACATTAAAATATGGAGTTATCGGTAAATTTCGGAATATTTTTCAGAATGCGGCTCCCGAGGCGACAGCGGTAGCTTTTGAATGTCGTAATTATATTTTGTTTTTAATTATTTTTTCCAAAGAATCTTTGTGTTTTATTTGGATCCGGAACGTGTTGTTCGGAAATTTTTAGTGAATGCGGTTTGTTTGGGACAATTACATCGCCTAAAGAAAAATGATATCGATATTGCAATAATATAGTTTCCGTCATTATGACATCAGAGAGGTGGATGACTAATTAACTTAAGCGCGATTTGTTTTAGGTGCAATTATTATTTCAAAAACAATCGTATTGAAATAATGTTTTTATATCGGAACTTGATACCTAAATTATATCATGCAATATGATTTTCGAAATAATATTATATGTAATTTGAGATGTTTTTAATTATTTCGAATTTTATCAGAAATTAACTTGAGAAAAATATAAATAAAAATATCGTTATCGTTGTAATAGCCAGATTCCATGTTGATTACATAAACCCAATTTAATCAAACCTGATTTTACGGTCATATTTTCACCAAGTAAAAATGTTATCAGTATTGCTCTATGACTAATTAACTTAAGCACGATCAATTTTAGGTGCAATTATTATTTCAATAACAAACTGAAATAATGTTTTCATTTTTAATTTCTATGCTAATATCGAAACTGGATACCTAAATGACATCATGCAATAAACTTTCAAAAATAATATTCTACGTAATTTGAGATGTTTTTAATTATTTCGAATCCTATAAGAAATTAACTTGAGAAAAATATAAACAAAAATATCGTTATCGATGTAATTGCCAGATTCCATGTTGATTGCGTAAACACAATTTAATCAGTTTAATTTTATCAAATCCTATTAGGATTTCGCACCGAATCCATTTTCATCAAGTACTTTTTTGTAGAATGTTAGGTGCGCGTTTGCTCATTGGACGTTTTTACGGCACAGGCTGTATTTTATACAGAGGGGTAGTTTATAAGGGTGACTTAGTCGTACGAATGACGACGCGTGCTGTATTTTATTGATCTGATGAAATTCTCAAAATTAAAATTTGACTAAAAAATGTTTGTTGAAATAATTGTTCAAATTAGTATGTAACTTATTTTATATATAATTAAATTCATGATTATTTGGAATTGGGGTGTTTTTGACACTTAAATTTGTTATTATTTGGAATTGTTATTACATTTCTATTATTTTACATGAATATTATTTCAGCAAAAAAAAAATCGTTCGCTTTTGAGTAATATATGTAATTTTACAAGATTTTTGTATGAAGTCTAGGGGGTGGAATTGAAAAGAGGATTGCAAAGTTGTGATATCTAATAATTTCTACAATTATTGGTAATTGTTCATTAAATAAAAATTTATATTTCAAAATTATACTATCAATAACATGTTTCTAGATCAAATAGCTATAATTAATCTAGAATGTGTTGAATTGCCAACATAAATTATTTTTATTCCTCCACTTTGAGAAGCTCTATATGTCCTCGCTAGATTTATTTCATCAGGGGTGCATAAATAACACTAAACCGCATTTTTTGCTCAGGATTTAGAAAATGGAAGCGTGCCCGTTTTTCCATTTTTATTTTGCTTCCCTTAGCATTACGTGGCAACAAGGCGGATATATTAGTTCGCGTGCCCAAGAGCGATCATAGATTATACCTTTATATTCAATCAATTGAATCAAGGGGGCCCTCACGTGCCTTCTTGAATACCTGATGTGTCTGGGGTGGTTTAATTTAACGCGGTTTGTTGTAGATTTTATTAAAGTTCCGGAATTGCTTCTTGTTCAACTTTGTAGGAATGAATCATATTCACACAATTTGAGGGGAAAAAATAAGTACCAATACCGAGGAGCAATTTGTGATTCTACTTATATACAATATTATCTTTAATGCCATTTGTTTTTACAATATTTTTCTTAAATTTACATAATTACACAATATATATATTTTAATATAATTTTCTTGAATCCATTTTTAACACTTATCAGTAATAAGTGGCTACGTGATGTAATGAAATATATTAGATAGTGATACATTTATTCTGACTTGTCCGGTTTTAAGATAAGAATGTATTCATACTTTGATGATTCATTTCCCCAATTTGCGTATTGAAAGAATTTCCGTCATTTATCTATTTTATTCAGAAGTCAAAACAAATTTTGATTAATTCTACATATTTTGAGAAAATTCAATTCTTATTCTGTTTCACATTTTTGTTATATTTTGCTAATGGTTTCGAATTGTTTTTAAATTCATTCAAAATTTATAAACTTAATTTTAAATATATTATTGAAATTTTGATACGGTGATGCAATGTAGTTATCACACATTCCGTTTGGAATTCATTCACATTTGGATTTGGTGTTTATAATTATGTGAATAATATTTGGCAAGTTTCTGATAAAAAATCGAATATACATTGTTTAATAGACATATTACAAATTTTGTGCAAGTGATAAAAGAATATAAATGTAGTTACAAAGCATTTAATTGTATATCTATATATACAATGGTTTCAATGTATCATTAAACAATTGTATCTGTGAAATTCTTTTTTCATAATATTTTGGTAATTGGACGTTATCTAAAAATTTTTGTAAATAGTTCTGTTATGGTGGATGAATATTATTTTGTATTTTAGATAAGTTGAGTTAGTGTTGGAATATTTATTAAATTCTGTTTATTTTATAGATGCACGTTGGTTGGGACGCAGCAGCCATGGGCCCGACAGCATTCGAGCAGCAGTGGATGCCGATGCAAGTCGTAAGTACATTGTGCTCTCTAAATATTTTAAATTAATTTAATTTATTTAAAAATATTACTTTATAACGACGGTCATTTGTCAGTTTTTAAATTTTATTTTTTTTTTATTTTTATTATTTAATTATAACAATTTAATATTTAGTTTTTATTTAATTTTATTTTCAAATTACAATTTAAAATATTACAATTTTTTAAAATTACTTTGTAATGGTGGTATATTTGTGTATACATATTACAAAAATATTTTTGATATTTTTTTCAATATTTACATTTTTTTAATAATAAAATTCCTATTCTATGTAATATAAAGATGACTAATTATTTTTTTTTTTTATAGAAATCCGAACCCCGCGATATCCAGCACAGTGAGCCTTTCCATTCAACTGAAAGCAGTAGCAGTCGCGATTCCAACCCCAATAGTCCCCAAAGTATGGACAGCATTGAATCTCACCACCAGCAAATGCCTAATGCATACTACGATCCTAGTGCTCATTATCGTATGCAAAGCACAAATCCAATGATGCAACACCAGTTCAATCCATTGACGCCTCCAAATTTTGATACGCCGAAATTGGACCGTCTTTTGGGTGCCTACCACCAGCATTTATCAGCAGCAGCTTGCTTGCCTCTGCAAGCGCCGACTCCTCCAAAATCTCCATCTGGAATTCTTCCAGAAACCCCAGAATTGACGGCTAATGAAAACAGCTGTGGAGAGAGTGAACATTCCGACGATGGACCTAAAGATGAAGGTGATAATAAGCATTTGAATTATGATTCGGGTGAAGACAATGATGATTTATTGAGCACGCCGAGATTAATTCGCACGGCAAAGTGAAGACTTTCAAATGCAAGCAATGTGATTACGTGGCTGTAACTAAGACTGATTTCTGGAAGCACATCGAACAGCACATTAAACCTGAGAAGAGATTGTACTGTCCGAAATGCCCTTTGTTACTGAATACAAACATCATCAGGAATATCATTTACGTAATCACACCGGTTCCAAACCTTTCCAATGTAATAAATGCCGTTACAGTTGTGTGAATAAATCTATGTTGAATTCACACAAAAAATCGCATTCAAACGTTTACCAATATCGATGCGCTGACTGCAACTACGTCAGTAAGTATTGTCATTCATTGAGTTACACTTGAAAAAATACAAACATCAGCCCGCTATGGTTTTGAACCAAGATGGTACGCCGAATCCATTGCAAATCATCGATGTTTATGGCACAGAGAAGAGGACCTAAAGCCAGACCAACTCCAAACGGGATGATATGCCGCAGCAAATGTCCATACAAACTACACCCGTTAGCCGTTTACAACAATTGCAACAAGAAGAGCAGCAAAATTTGGCTAACGTTCATCAACAGCAAATGTTCCAGAATCCATTTGCCGGAATTCCGTTCCATATGGACCTTTGCTCACTGCCTTCCCAGGTTTCCAAAATCTGATGTTCAATAACAAACAATATTGAACCTATGTTATCGTCCGGTAAGACGGAACAGCAGCCTTCGGAAATGCTACCCAGAGAGAATCAGGAAAATCAAATTCTTCCTAAACCGGCGGAACATGAATTCATGAGAACGCAGCTGGTGCAGCCTCCCAAAAACACCCACTCAAAATATCATTATTGACGAACCTGTAGATATGTCGCCGAAAAGAACCGCG